ATATATATATATATATAGTGAAGATTATTTGCTTTGTTTGTCTGTTATAGATAAATAATATCACTATTCATTTCTCCTGATGATAACATCATTAATAGTCTATTACACAAATAAAGCAAAAGAGAAAAACACACACAATGGCAAATATACAAAGACTGTATTTATATATGTAAAATATTAGAGCTATATTGGAGAGTTTCAAAACATTCAGTAGTACATAGTATAATTAACTTTTTCAAGGAGAGTCACAAAAGGGTAGCGGTGGTTCATTCAGATAGAAGAAACACTCTAAAAGCAGGACGCACAGTGATAACGGAATAATGTCTTTAATGAAAAACCTTGGAGCGCTAATCTCAAGATGTTCAAAAACGCCTCGAGAAATCAATTTTATGCATTCAAATTTAAAAAATGTTCAAACCAAATAAAGGCCAAGGGTAATGCAATATTCTCAAGTCCATCACCCGAAAACGAGAACATCTGAAAAATAGGTTACACCTGTATAATAGATAATATAATTAGTGGCACCCATCTTGCCATCAATTTCCGCCAACTAGTATTTGTAATGATAATATTTACAACATTCTTTACTGAAATTGTAAATTTTGGAGGAAAAAATGTAATCTTTCTTAATCACAGAAAAAAAAGCAAAAGGATCAAATATTGTTGAGTGCAATGAACTGCAAGACAATTCAAGGACCAGTTTTGAAATTTCCTTGACTTGCAATGTAAAACAAATACATGCATATTCATGTCAAAAAATGACAATTCCATGCACATAAAAGTGGGGTTTTTTCCCCCAAATTTCATGACTTTTCCAGGTTTGTCATGACGTGGGATACCATGAGGGAAATCTGTCATTACAGTGATAATCAGACTTCTGACAGAAATAAAAATACTCAGCAACTGTTCTTTATTGTAAGGTATCTTGAGAAGAGCCTTAAGCTAAAAGCACAAGGGACAGATTTACAGATCTTTTTTCCATTCCACTCCCCCTTGTAGGTCTTGCAGGTGAACAAGCTAGTGAATGGTATTAAATAAAAATTGCATTAAGTTAACTAATTATGGTACAGTTTCTTACCATTATCTGGAATAAAACAGGTTTCCCAAACTCCAAAAAGAATGGATGATTCAGAGCCATTGGTGCCATGATGTCAAAGACTTCAAACTCAACCCAAACTTTCTTTTCCACAACTATCAAAGAAATTAATCATGTGAGTTAATGTCTATCCACTCTATTTCTTTCATGTAACGATTATCTATGATTTTCCCATATATGATATGTTACATCACAACATATACCTGTATTGTATGGCCAAATTACAGGTATTCATGACAAAAAAAATCTTTATGTTATGGTCGGATATTTAAGCCTAGAACGTGTTTTAAACTTTAATTGTCTGCTGAATCAGTCAAACATCTTACAGTACATGAAGAGTCTAAATGTGAATTCTAACAATTACTTTAGTGTGATATTCTATCACACTAAATGGCACCAAGTAAAAGATACCAGAACCTTTAAGGTAATAAAAAAAAAATACAGAAATTTTTGGCAAATAATAATACACTATTTCATCACCTTGTTAAGAAAAGGTCATGACATTTTAAGATATGAAATCATTTACTAAAAAAAAAATCAGAGTATTAAAAAATAGCTACCAATTGTGAGTATATTCATAATACATCGAAGACCATTTGAATGAGATAAACATTGTTTTGAAATATACCTATCTTAATCTGAGGGTCCTAATATTAAAGTTTTATCCGGTTCTGCATAATATACATGAAATAGACATTACAATACATAAAAGGAGTAAACCAATTTTTGTTTTGATGTTATAAACGCAAGCTTTCGTCATGCAAGATCAAGATCACTTTAGTAGTCATCAAATAACTTACCTAGGTTACGGACAAGGACTTCAAGTCGCACTGACCCAATTGCCTCGTAAAATATGTGAGTGAGAAATGGTACTACAGACGTGGAATTTGTTCCATTCACACTCCACTGAAATAGTAAATCTGACCGATCTAAGATTTCACCTGAAATGTATAAATGCCCAACAGAATAAATTAACTGTTTAAAGGTTATTCCTATTCACTCAAAAGATTTCAAACACAGGAACGAGTATTTTTAATGATTTTCCATTCTTCATTCAGATTTTCATTGGCTGGAAGTTGATATAAGATATTGAGTAATACATTTAATTTGATTTTTGCTTGTTTCTTTTTTCTTTTACAGATTTCATGACAATTAGTTATTGTTAATTTTAGCATAATACACAATCAACAGGACATGTAAATAAACTATCATTCCAAACCAAGGGTATAGAAAGTTGAAGGTTATACAAATAAAATGTAAAGCAAACTGAAGAGATAAAATTTTAATCTGCTATTGAAATGCTGAATAAAATCCAACATATGAAACTGGCCACTAGTCTTTGAAAGTAGAAATTAAGTTGAACCTACCACCGTATGTCAGTTTAAATTTGCTAATTTGTCCAACGAAGACATCTGAGAGGGGTTTAACAACAATGTCATCGATGTAGGCTTGAACAATCACACACACCTCATCTGCCACTGAAGACACATCATTGAATGCTGTAACAGTCACACGATACACACCTGGCTCCGGAAAATCATAGACAATCTTAAAGAGACCATCATCTTCTACTGTGGCTGTGATGTTCTCTGAGCCCATACCAATATCAATAGAGAATCTGATATGCGACCCTTCTGTTACAATTGCAAATATCTCTGTAAGATTTCCCAAGACGTTTGGTGGAACCTCAATTAGGCTTAACCCGGAAACTCGTTGCTCTACAGTCACAACATTTGGCAAAGTCCTTTGAAGTTGACTAACCAAATTTATCGCAGTAACTGTGATGTTGTACGAGCCAACATCCCAGTAAGTATAGTTTGCAGATGAGCTCTCCTGGTAGCGATTGGCTAATGCAACTGGACTTGGGGCTACATATACATCTGAGCCCCCAAAGTCCCATTTGAATGTAACATTTGTGCCATTATTCACAGACGCCACTACATGTACTGTGCTCCCCAAAGAAATGAAGGCCGGGCTAGTTGAATAGATTGACAGTCCATCCACTGGCGCTTGAACGAAGAAATACTTTTTGATGTAGTCAAAACTGACAAGGTTTGAAATATTAACAGCCAGAGCATACCTGCCAACTTCAGTGAACATTTGGCAGAAAACAGGTTCTCTTGTTTTCTCTATCAAAATACTAGAATTGTCTAAAAACAATTCCCATCTGAAAGTCGTTTTTGCCCAGTCTGAAGACATATTATGAATTAATGGTGATAATTTTAAATTAAAGTTATTCACAGGTCCAATAGCATATGATGAGTTTACTCTAAGTTGTGAATCGGATATCACATTCTGAATAATAATCGGTTCTTCCAAATTCTCTTCCAATGTCACATTAATACTAAATACCTTAGATTTCACATAATATACACCAGAATTTTCATAACTATGTTGGAATGAAAGGAACAGTGTACAGCTCTCTCCATAATCTGCCATTAAATGAAGATGATTTGAATCCAAGGATTTCCCTCCTATAAACGTGTCATTCTCATCCTTCAGACTCAAGTTGAACGCTTTTCTGTCGCCAAAATCAAACTCAAGGTAAGTGTTCTGTCGTGACGTAGTGAACAACGTTAACATAAATCTGACTGCTGTATTTGGCTTGGTGTAGTATGGTTCAAAGTCATCATCAACTACCAGGCTTAGATTACCCATCTCTCTTTTTACCACCACCTTTTGGTAATAACAAAACTAAGTGTAAGAATGCATGAAAATTGCAGATTCCAACTGAAAGACTAAATAATATGCATGAAAGAAGATGGATCCCTACTGATATTTTGCCAGAACATCAAAGCAACTGTAGGGCTTAGTAAGTAATAATTCCAGTAATTGAGCAATTTAAATAAATGTTTGGTTTTATTATCACAGTAGAACCTCATTCTTTAATTTAACCCAACTTGATTTTACAAATCCCTGGATCTATGTATGCCCTCTGGTCCCATACCGAATGTAAAATCAAGGTTCTACTATACCATGCAAAAATTAGGAAAAAATTTTATAAAGCAAAAAAATAAGTAAAATATAATATATTTTAAAGCTGATACCTTTCCTGTCAGTGTCATACATATTAATTTGTAACAACTGGAAATTTGAAAGGTCACCTTAAAAAAAGGGGGATTCTTTCAAACCCTGTGAATCCCCTTGCTACAGGCTTGTTTACATCTCATAAAAAAGTTTTTATGACTTGTGCATATAGTGACTACATCCCTGAAGTCTCATGATAATTTAGTATATTGGTTTGACTCAACATTCTATAAACTTGTGTTCTACTGTATAATGGTGGACACTCGCTGCATCGTGCGACAGTCGTACAATCGAACTCCGCTCCCAGTGAGCGAGAGATGACGCAACGCCGTCGGCTGATTGTCGGTAGCAGTCTGAAGGGATCGTCATTAAAAACGATCCGTTGCGCGCATTGTTGCGTTCTTCATAGAATCGCGTCGGCTGAAGACCGTCGTGGACAGTGAGTGCCCAGCTTAAGGTGTTTTTGAAGGTGAGAGTTCTTACCACATAGAGTTCCTTTGAGAGACTACCCAAAGAATTTGAAACATTCACTGACACCTTCTGGATTCCTTCTGTAGTAAAGGTATGATTCTGTAAAACCAAAAGTAAATTATTTATATTTATTTATTTATTTGAACAAACACTTTTGTTACAGTGGCACTCATCTATTAATGGTTAGTTCAGAGAAAACAACAAATATTACTAACTGAAAGTTACAATTAAATTAATACCAAATAGCATATGCACAATTCTTTCTATAAGATTTGAAAGAAACTTCTTTCCATAACTTGGAATCACATCATAAAAAAACAATATAATTATAGTTTTTCTGTAAAAAAAAAAAAAGATGGAAAAGATATGTAAATTCCTTTTATATTTAATTGAAAAATATTAAGGAATGGCAAGAAGCAAGAGAGAACTGCATCATAATTAAATAAAATTAATTTATCAACAATAAAAACATATTGTTGAGAAAGTAGTAAAAATTGACCTAAGCCAATATTGAGGCCATAAACCTAAAAAAAAAAAAAAAAACACCCAGAGATAAATAATGCCATATGTTTCAGCCTTATACCAGATACCACCATTAAATGACAGACAGATGGTAAGATGATGATAAGAATCAACAACAAATGTATGTCACATTCTACTTTACTCTATGAAGAAGTGGTTAATGCAATGTAGTTCACATAATGTTACCTTCAAGATAAAAAATGTATTTGAAAGAACTAGGTCAGAAAAAAAAACAATTAAGAAGACCGACTGTCCCGTTTACTATGAACTTGTATTGATCAATCCCCTTGCTCCTTCAAAGGATTTGCCAATGACCATCTCTTGGTAGGAATTTCTCACTGCCAAAGCATTTCATGACTAATTGTCTAGTACTAGTCCCGAGGCTGAGCCCAGAGTCTCAACGATAATACCATCCTAACTACATGGTTTTTGTTCGTAATGAGATTATAAGATATTGGAAAAGCAAGAGGAATTCCATGTCTGTTTGTAAACCAGTTTACCACATGAACCTGATGGACTAGACAAATGATTTCACTTCACATTATTGTGTTCCTTTATCCTTATTAAACTCCGAGTCAAGTTAGCAAACTGTGGCTGGGAGGAATAACCAAACTGCTTCCAGTGGCGTATCGGAGGGTGGGGATGCACACACCCCCATAACACACCCCCATAAACAAACTCGCACCCCCCAGTCACTCACCATTGAAAATGTATAAAGCAAAAATATAACAGGCTCAAGTAGATAAAAATCACTTTATTTTGCAAGCTAGCACCCACTCACTTAAATCATCAGCCCTCCCACTTCAAAACTCCTAGATAAGCCAAATGGCTGCTACCCATGAGCAGAAAAGCTATGAAGTGGTATTGTCCGTAAAGAAATTATCAACAACATTCAAATTCACCCTATGGTTGTGCATTATACCTTACAGTAGTCATTTTCGCGAAGCAGATAATATTTAGGTATGATCTTGGTAAAACCTACTGTATACTTAAATGAATTTAGCAAAGGTAACTTTTCCCTTTATCTTCGTCAAAATAAACATTGGAATTAAATCAAAAACCTCAGAATCGTAAGGAAACTGGCCGGGATGGTCATGTTCCATGCAGTTGAAAGTTGTTAAAGTGATTATTGCGCCAACTACAAGATCCCATTTTTTGGCACACACTCAACACTTCATGCTGAGAACTCTAAAGATTTCCAAACATTGGCAACAAATCAACAAAATGTGGAATTACTGTATAATCATTTTATTATCAATTTAATTTCCGTTTTAAAGAAAAATATTATACAATATAATTTTGACTTGGTCAGGTGCTACTACAAGTTTACGAATCGCTATGTCATTATTTCTATAAAGAGTACAAAATAAAATGTTGATTTGTGTCATTTTATCTGACTTTCAACTAAAGTACCCCCCCCCCCCTTTAAAGTCTATCTGTGTTTTTATATTTTAGTAAGTAATTACACTTTAATTGAAAATTATAAATAGTACTACTACAAGATTTGTATTATCAGGGAGAAAAAAATTTGTGCCTAATTGGAAGTTAAGTTTTTACAAAAAGACAGAATGCAACTTGATGAGAATATATATTTCCATTCACCATGACAACTACTTTACTACTTTACTTAAAATCCAGAAATTATGTTGACCAAAACAATAATAAAAAGTGATGTTTACATACAAGGTCCTATAAACTACTTACATCCAGTGAGAAAGACCTACTTTTATAAATTATCCTTTTAACTTAATAGATCAAATGGTATTTTTGAAGTACAAGTATTTATTTGAAAATTGTCTTGATTATCAGTTATAAAGATAGACTGTATGCAGTATAGAGTCATGCACTGTTAATAGAATAGAGTATGTGTTTATGTAGTAGTAGTTTTTTTTTTTTTTTAATACAGACCTGAATGAAATATTGGCGCATAGGTAAAATAACAACTTATTACGTTGGTAAACACTGCAGGCAATAAAGATTGACACTTTTCCTCCTGATATTAGACCTCACAACAACTTTAAGTGATTGTTATTGTTGGTTCTCACTCGAGCTTATTAGTACAGTGGTGTTCATTATCATGCAGGCCATAAGACAAGACCTTCCTACTGTACTAGTCTTAAACAGTAGGATAGATAACTGTTACCTTATTAAATTTTAATAGCACTCAGCAGACATTAATGATTAGAAGAAAAGATAGCTTCAGAGTTTAGTACATTGAACCCCTGACTGAACCACAGAGGTACACAACAGTACTAGGCTTGAAGAATGACTGGTGGTGTAGTTGGCCATTAGCCATGCCACTGAGTATCTATCCTGGTCTGTCTCCTACTCCAGTGCCAAGAATGAGATAAATGCTACCTTTGTATAATGGTATTTAGTGGTCAGCTACATAAAATGACGCCATCCTCTTCTTTGGGTTCATGTTCCTTACTTCCAGAAAATCAATTTATATTTCTGCACATATTTCCTTTGCATGAACATTAGGCCAAAAAAAAAAAAAACCACGTTTTGGGATAATCCAAAAAATGAGTAGGTCGGTAGGAAATTTTTTTCCCCAACGACCTAAAAAGTAGAAAATACACAAATAATACAACAATTTTGGATTTGCATCATGTACCATCCAGCAAAATAGGCTATGCCTTGGTCCCCTAGCCTGACCAAGGCTATTCCAGCCTTATTTGCTTAAAAAAAAAAAATATTGTTTGTTGTAGTAAAAAAAAAAAACCTAAAATGCCGAGCCTGAAATTCATAAAATTTGGGTTGGTCGGGTGTGTCGGCCTTACTTAGGATCTTTTTTAGACTTTGTCAAAAATGTTAATAAAAACAACTTTCTAATTAAAGTTGCATAACTTATTATCCTATAATTTCACAAGTTTAGGCCCAATAAAAAAAATTATTAGTTTATCACACATGCGCGCATGCCTTCTATGGTACTGGAAAAAAAAAAATGTTGAAAAAGATTTTTTTGGAAATTTTAAAAAAAATTTTTATTTATTTATTTATTTTATTTATTTTATTAAATAGTTAGTAGATATTGTTTGCATTATCTAAATCATGTTTTACTTTGAATATCAATGCACCAGCAAACAACCCAAGGTGATATTTGGCTTTACCAAAATAAAATAAAAAATTAAAAAAAAAGCCTCCCTCCCTCATCACTTTTCCTGTCCAGATATGGTGATAAACTAATAATATTTTTTATAGGGCCTTATGACAGTCTGTGATAAAATCTAGGAATTCTCAAAAACTTTTGCAGAAAAATATGTCAAAAATATCAGTTGATACATTAAAATTTCATATTACAATTAGACAAGCAACCAACTTTATAGAAATTCACATGCTATTTCTGGCTAAAAGGTAACACATAGGCCTTGCCTACTACCACCACAAAAAAACATAATTGTGCACTTAAAAGTAACACATAAATTATCACTTTTACCAAGTTAAAAATATTAAAAAAAATAGATTGATTTATAAACATTTACCACAAAAATCCTTGAATTTGCTCCAAGTCTAGATACCGCCTTAGAACCTCAAAGTCTAGAGCTAATTTTTACTTCATTCCAAAATGTGGGAGTTAAATAACTCACAGGTTAGACAACAGAACAAATATCTTTATACTGTGATTTAATTGTTGTATTATAAATAGCTTTTTTGAATATTTAGAGCTATTGTGTTCCCCTATAGTACCAAAATTCAAAATTTAAATTTTATTCTAATTCTACTTTTGATGTCTTTGTACATTATCTAAAAAAATTGCTTCTTGTTCTAATTTTCAGTTAAAAGGTAACAAGCTTTTGAAATACAATTAAACAATTTAATTTTTTAATTTTTATTATATGAGGCCTGTAATCTTAAAACCAGCACACTGTCGCTAAATGTTAAACTGAGAAGTTTGCAAAAGAATGTGGCAGTGTTGTATACTTTGGTACAAAATGCTGTATTTTAATCATAACTTTGGCAATACAGTAGTAAGTTATTTAGTAAATGACCTATCATTTTAAAGCTATATGGAGATAAATATATTAAAAGACATTTTTGTCAATGATGCTGATGTTGCATGGCAAGCCTCATATTTATAACTTTAATAATTATTTCTCAACTAGGTCAATAATTTTTTGCCTAAAACCAAAGTATTTACCTAAATGTGGAGTTTCTGAGAAGCTGTCAAGACATATTACAGAAATTTCATTAAACCCATTCAAGTCGATCAATCAAAAATTGACCTGTTATCATTAAATATCAATTAATTTAATAGAACAGCTTGATTCATCAACTTCATTCAAATTCCAAAGTTATTTTCAGCAAATTTGCACAACCTTAATAATAGTATAAATTACAGGCACCCCACTGATATAAAACGTCTCACAATTTATACCTCTTAAGAATCTGCGTCATTGCCCGCTAAAATTGGAAAAGCCGAAATGATGAAGCAATTAACATGTTTTCTTTAAATTAAAAAATGAAGGACGAGATTACAAAGTGCAATACAAATTCTACGCTCAGAGCTCAGGTAGAGATCTTTAATTGAGGTTTAAACTCAAACTTAAAAGCTATTATTATATGCAACCACAACAAATTGGATGATCCACCAATCAAGCATGTAAAGACTCCAAGAAACACATAGTACTGTATGTTGGAAAACCTGTATGCTGTGCAAAACCTTAAAACAAATTCAATTTAAACAGACTACCTTTTTATAGAATACAATTATGCAAGTTATTAATGACATCTAATTAAGACTGCCTTCAAACCAATTCAAGTTTTAAATGATTTAGGCCTACATACTTTTTAATATTGCTAACAGATTTATGACTTAAATGCAAAGAATATAGGAACTTGATATCATTTTTCTCTACAACTTTATCATATCACTACAGTAGAAAAGTTGTTTCTCAATACGAAAATATATTATATAGTGGCCAAAAATTTTACATTAAGACCAAAAGTTTAATTTAGATATTCTCAAATATCATGGTTATTATTCATTGCATATTATAATATTGTGAGAAAGAAAGTGTCCTAATAGAAAAATTCAAAGATGTACAGTATACCACTTGGCCTTATAGCTTATAGTAGTTGGTAAAGTATCCAATGGGAGAAATTACGTTTTCTCAAAAGAATTTACTATCATCATTCAATATGGATAACATTAGAATTTAATAATTTCATAATCATATAAAATAAGATTCACTGTTTTCATTAACACTTTTTCAATAATTTATGAAAGGCACTATACATTTGAAAATATTTTCTTGTCCTAATTTTTAACTGAAAGAAAATAACTTGCTTAAACAGGCCCACATTTAAACAATTTAAAAATATTGAATTTTATCACGTTTATTTGCCCAACACAGATAAGAATATATCATTTATGAGTAATGACAAATATTTCTATAGACAGAGAGAAAAATTATTAGACATAATAAATGCATAGAAACCATATTAATTGACAAATATGTTGACCATAACTATCAACCCATATCATTTCCTATCTCAATATAAACCTGGTATGGGAGTGTGAGGACAAGGTAAAGGATTTCGGCAGGTGTACAGCTCCACATGACTACAAGCTACAACTGTTACCTGTTCATAGATCAAAGCAATGCAGGTTAGAATATGCATAGGTACAAGCCTGTTGGAGACTGAGTGACAACTAAAATGCATTCCTTATATCTCACCTTTATATGTTGTTGCATGCATGTAATTCTTGAACATCCCGACTCTGCTAAATATGGTGACACCGTGTACGACAAACCATCCTCAAACTCCCACACAAAAGTTAAGTTAGTTCCCATAGCGACAGATGCCTGCAACATCACTTCTTCCTCTAAGAATACAGCCACAGATGGTAGATTTACAGGAACAGTATCCTCCGTCGGGATACAGGATGGAACAGAATCGAGGTCTGTTCTTAAAAGTACCTGTAAATTGTGGGGGGCTGGTGGAACCACTGTTAAACTGGTAGTTCCTAGGATTCCAGAAATTGGATTTTCCACTTCAACATCTGAGGGTAAAAAAAGAAATAGTCATCATTACAAGAATATTCAAATTAATTGTTTATAGCAAGCAATGATTATTTCACCACCAAAATTATTTTTTTGCTTTATTTTTTTGCTTTATACAACAGATGTCACAGATTTCCAACCTATATACTTTTTAATCCAGATCTTATATATTAAGTATATAAACAAAAAGTTTCAAACTAAATTACATTATACTATTTAAGATATGCTTCCACATTGAATATGAACTCAACAGAGAACATTACATAAAATGTGTTCGTTAGTACTGTATGGCAAAAGTAACTATATTTTTTAACTAAAGCCTACTTACTACCATTATATATACAGTACTTTGTACTAAATTTTCCATATATTTGCATAAAATATTATTCCAAATTCTAAACGTGAACTAAGTCAATGTCAAGCAGGTCCATTTACAAAAAAAAAATAAATACATGGGATGAGGTAACAATTGTAGAAATTTGTAATGTAGGTGTGTGTCTATATTTAAAATACAAATATACACTTAACTGTCTTCACATGGCTGTTAAATAATGTTTAGTTATTTAGAAAACAACATTCTTGAAAAGCATTGAAAAACTAATAATATAATAATAATTGTGAACTTGGATTATATAGCGCATAATGTAAATACATCTATGCACTTTTACAAGCAAAAGATAATTCAACAAACAACCTCACCTAATTACAAAAATGATATGATGAACTATAATAAATACCAATTTGATTTATTTTGAGTTAGGCAATACTTTTTTATACCTTGTTTAGCGAACCTACCGCCCGCCAATAATGGTGATTTCAAATAAAATTAAAATTTTTTTTTTGGACAATTAGTGCATTGCAGCCACAAAAGAATTGAAAATTTCAGACAAAAAAATTAGAGTGTCTTTATTTTTATTACATCTGCCGCTGCCTTGAAATATCTAAAAATAAAATATGTATATTTGTTCTTAACTATTAAAGCATTTAACCATCCCATTACTACACTGTTTACATTCACCAATAAAATTTAATATTTATTTTTTCCCCATCAAATCTAATTACTAAATGAAAAACCAATATTTATTTATATTTTTTTACTCTAATAATATATTTAAAAAATAGGTTCGCGAAACAAGTTAAAAAAAAAAAAGTCTCGCCTACTGAATAATTTTAAAAAACACAATTACTTAAAGTTTCTTCAATCTATTTAATTAATTAATTTTTATATTTATTTGCTTTCTTTCCTTATTAACTACTTACCTTTTGTTTCCTTTTTTTATGCATTTTCTTTTCTTTCCATCTCCTTTTCTTTCTTTCTTTTCAGTCCTATTTTCTGTCTATCTTTCCTTTACTTTCCTATCATTTTTTCTTTACCTTTTCTTTCTTTCTTTTTCCTTCTTTTATCTCACTTCTTTCATGTACTTTTTTTCCAAATCTCTATATAATTAGTATAAATTTACAATACGTCCCCACTAAATTTTTTAACAAGCGTTTTAGAAAAATGATTCAACATTTGGGCAATTATGTAACATATTTTATTTTCATCAAGAGTCTACTTTTATATTGTTTTGTTTGTATGTTTCTACTTTTATGAATGCACTGCAAGAGCGTGTGTAGCTGTTTTAAAAGCATTGTTTCAAATAAAGTTTGTTATTATAACAATAACAATAACAATAATAATATTAAAGACTTTTAAAGCGCACATCTCCAAGGGGCTCAAGGTACATTAATAACAGTCACTTCCCTGGATTATGATTAATTTCCCAAACAATCAAAAACATTTTCATTTTGCTAATGATAAATTATCATGGTTACATATACAGATTCTAAAACACATTAATAATAACCCCTGACAAATATATATTCAAGGACGTTAATAACAAGGTTTCATTATGAATAAAAGTTTTCCGATTCTCTTCTGCATAAACTATTAATTGTTGGACTGACATTTCTCTGGTTTTGTGGTTTTGTATTTCATATCCTTTCAATGTTTAACCAAAACTAATAACTTCCAGAATATTGAACTATGTTTTCTACTTAACACTTCTTACCGCAACCATAGAATTCTTTCAACTTATAGTACGTAAAATAACCACAGAGTCCACTGTGCCAAATAAATCAACATCACTTCCAATAAAGAAACTGCGTTGGCAAATGAGTTGTGAAGTGATATTTTCTTTTTCTTTTTTTGAGAAACAAAATTAACTGACTCTATAGAAGTATTGGGAAATTCAACAACTGATGCCACATGTAGAGGTTGGTGACAGAGTCAATTAGGATTATAAGAACCGATTAGATGAGTCTTATTTTTAAAATTTAAATATAAAAGAAGCTGAGGAAATTTTAATCCTATTCAATTTTCTTATAATGTAAATGCCAACAATCTGAGGAAAACATTTCAGTGGGTATCTGGTTATTTTTGGCAAAATAATAAAGTTTATCTTGTGTTTTAATATGAAACAAAGTTTGTCCCAATGTTTCAGTTTGTTAATGTTACTTTTAATATTTTGTATTCATAATAGCTATTGAATGTTTAATTTTAATACCTGTTTTGAAGATTTCACTACAAAAATTATATATTTAACATATATCTTAGTCTCAATATCAAGGGAATTTAATTTGCAATCTATCTAAACACTGACATTTTTTTAAATTACATTTACTAAAATTTTATAAAAGTAGTATCCTACATAATACTACCTAGTTAGAAAAATACTTAATATCACTGAATTATAAAATCCATTAAATCTACATTCAAAGATATGTAAAAATCACTTACATGAGGAAGGAAATATCCTGAAAAGTTCCAAATAAAGAATGAGAATAGACAGCTTAAACTTTAGGTTACAAATCATTGTAGTTGATCATTTGAGGCACAATTGGGTGTGCATTAAATTAAGCTCAGCTTCAAACTAACTTTATCTTTCAAATAGATCCAACTTATGTAGAGGTGCTGATAGGTTTAGTAATGTTTGGTAATTAAAGCACACCAATAGAAAAGGGACAAATGTTTGGTGGTCGGATTTCACTAGCCTACCTCTATTGTTTCTAATTGATAGGTAGTCGAAGTCACTCATTGGCTAAGAAAGTAAGTTGAGAAAATTGGGATGGTACAGGTATGAATAGCAGCAACGGAACAAGTAAATTGATTGTGCTACAATAGGTTGCTTCACCTGGTCTATTTAATGCCACTGGCCAGGATACACCTGACTTTCTAGCACAGAACTACGAGACGAGACGAGACGTAAGACCTACCCAGGGCAGCTGCAGGGATTCAGGTGCAAGGCCTGGCTAGCCAATTCTCTAGTTCATTGACAACGTGACTATCTGTGTAGCATTTAAAACCTGAATCACAGTGTTGTGTCTGTGCATGACATATTGGATCCTCGTCAAATTCGCCGAGACAATATTCAGAGCACGATTTCTATTTCTCGACATTATTCTTGCACAGAAACCTAATTAAAGGGGTGCCACATGAACTAATCACCTAATTTCTTCCATTTCTCTGCCAAATCAGATGCATAATTATTTACAATATCCATATGGGGTTGTAATTAAACGCAACGATGATACACTATAAAGTCACGAATGCTAACGACAGGATACGAAGTTGTGTGAACACCGCAGCTGGATACCTTTATTCTCTTAAAAAGAATGTCATTTTCACCATGATCTTTGCGTCAAAACACAATTCAAGAAGTCAATAAACAGTAGTAAAGAAAATTATATTGCTCTGGGGCCTGTTCTCTATTTAAGTGCAAATGTTTCATTTTTAGAACTTTCACAATACTGTACTTCCCACTTCATTCTTCCATCAAATGACACATTTGCATCTTATTATCAAGAAAATCATCATCAATTTCTTAATTACACTAATTTATTTCAAGTACATTATTATATATATTTGTATTATACTGTCCCTAGTTTTTTATATATTAGATTTTGATATGTTTTTAACTTAAATTATATCTTAAAAATTTGAACCAAATTCAATACCATATATCTATTTATGTTCATTAATTTCCTGTCTTATTCTTTGATAAATGAAATTGCATAGCAGCTTTTTCAAATTAGTTAATTCTTTATGGAAATTTTAATATAACATGAATGTTTTAATAGCTTGAGTAGATAAAAGAAGTTGTTAATAAGTCTTGCTTCTTTCTAAAGATCATGGTTATAAAAATGAATCCAGAAAAACTACCATCAAACTTATTAAATTATTTTTGCGTTGCATTGGAACATTACATTGCAAAAAAAATATTAACCCTAACAATAGTTAAGAATGATTATTTTTTTTATGGAAATTGATAGGTTGAGGACCATGAGTCAAAGCATATCTGATTGACAGCTGTGAATGCCGTAAGGTGATGAAAATTGCTGTTTAATGACAAAAGTGACAACCCTGACTTTGAGAGCTTATAATCAGATAGCATTACCAATGTTACCTACATAAGTATTTTATCGCCCTGAGACACTCTTAAGTCAGGGGACAGGGAATAGAAATCAGAACTGACAGGTACAAGAGAAATCCAATATTGCAGACAATTCTCAAAACATGACACACAATAGTAATTTCTATTTATGTTTATAATCTTATCTTTAAAACATTCAATCATTTTATTTCAGTTTGAAAAGAAACACAGCAGGTATTTTGATTAGTTATGTATATTTGTAATTCGAGTGTCACACAACCAAATAATTTCATAAAGAACGAAATGTTTTAGAGAATATATTAATGTGACAAATAATGTTGTGTAACTAAATATACACTGTCTACAGTGATGAAAATTAATATTTGGATTGACCATTTATATCTCTTCAAAAAAATTCCACTTAACATCAAAATTATTTACTGCTTGTTGCTGTAGTTGTAAAGCATGTTGAGGCTTTATTATTATTACCTTTCTTATACTGTATTTCAAAAAGTTTTTTTTTACTAATAATTTATTATCAAAAATTTACTTCATAATTATACTACAGGTTTCCCTCTAATTAAAGACCCTCCAAAGAAAGACAACGTTAACTTAAAGACCACTTTACCAGTTCTTAGTAAAACTTTAAAAGTAGGGTAAAAACCATAATAATGGCCCATTACTGTATAACACAGAACATTCACTTAAGCCTCCGCCTCTTGGATATTGTTGCTAAAATCCAGCAAAATTACAGCGTAAGGCCAAATAAAAGAATATACTTGTTAAGCGTCACCCCCTCAAAGATTTTCAGGGGCGGGGGTGCGTTTTTTGTTTTTTTTGTTTTTTTCTTTTTGCTCCATGATTTATCTCTGCACGGTATTCAGTTTCAGCTTATGTCACTGTTTTGGCTTGTACATAAAAGAATGTCTACAATTGAGTCAGTACATCTTTTTTAAACATTGAGAAACACATTTAGAATCATTTATATACGCAGCACATGAATTGCCACAGCAAAGAATTGCAATTTTTTGCCAGCCTAGGCCAGGATTTCTTAGCTTCAATAACTGTATGAATGGGTGGCAAACTGGCCATAACAAAAACTAAATTTTATGTACGTCGTCAAACCAAGGTACATAATAGATTTGTTTGTACAATATTTCTTTTTGGCAAGGCCTAGCCTACGTACGATTGTGTGTGTGAATTGTCTTGACTTTCTCGACTGGGGGGGGGGGGCCTAGGTAGTGCTAGCCGCATAGCGTAGGCCTAGTCATTTGGTACTGTAGCTAGGCCCAACCTGGCCTGAATAATCGGCCAATTGAAGCCACATAGCTGCTTAGATCGTAACACAAACCTTATTTGACTTCATTGTGGAGTATTATTATCATTTTCAAAAAATTGTTTATTATCTAAAAAACAACCAAATTAAACATGTACTAGGCCTAGGTAGGCCTATATACTACTACCGATGTCTGTGACAGTACATGTGTTGATGTTGGTGGCGCACTTCACAGCTTGTTCCCTGCACTCAAGATGAATAAAAACGATCATTTTCCGTCAATAATATCAGCATTTTTTAGTTAATTTTTGTCATTCTTTTTCCAAAGGAAAAAAAAAAGGGGTGGCTAGAAAATCAGTGGTAGGCGGTGACGCTTAACAAGTATATTTTTTTATTTGGCCTAAAATTAAACATACACACTTGTGGGACAAGTGTGTTTATGGGATGCACATGTTCCTGGCTATGTTCTGATTGGTCAATTGTTAAGTTTGACACTTAGGAAAGGTCGACGAGACTAGAGATTGAACTTTGAGAATACCTTTTACCAAAACGTCAAACTGACTAAGTAGTAAATGTAGCAAATGTGGGAATTCTTGATGAGCGCTGCTTCACAGCTGTGAGTTAGGTGTAGATTACGAACACTTCCATTTGTGAATTGTTCAATATTGGCTTGCTATTTGAACCTAATGCTATGATTTGACAATATTATCTAAATAAATCCAATAAATTTTTGTGTTTCAATTACATTATCAGTTTCCGAAAATGATAGGTGGTGGCCAGCAGCTTGTCAAAAGTAGTCGGAAATGATGAGTGAGGGCTGATACTGACCACCGCTGACCAGCATGCTGAGAACTCTGATAATGTGTCTATGGATGTCATATTTGTTGTTATCAATCAATTGTTAAATCTCAAGTGATGCTGATTTACTGAACTTGTAAATTTCCTTAGCATTGCAAAAATATTGGTGTCAGTTATTTTTACTCATAACACCTAGCAATAACTTAAGTAAATAACAAGTATGATACTGTGTAGCAAATTAGTAATCTAATCTTTTTAATTTGTTCCAACTATGGAACACTGCTGGTCAGAAGTTAAAATAGATCGTCACAGTTAGATTTTACAGGAGTGACTAACTAAAATAAATGCCATTGCAGAAGTTACACTTCCCCATTGCACAGTAAAACATAAGATCTATACTACAGCAGATGAACTTTAACATACAACTACACCATCGGATAAAGGTATAACAATTATGCACTAGGTTAGAAATGACAGCGAGGGAGAAAGGAAATTATATTGGAGGTCGAAAATTATGTCATTATTGGCTGATAAAAACCAACAAAAAAACCTTTCCAAAGTGGAGTACATCTGACATTTCAGAGATGTTTTGTGAGTGAGCAATAAATAAATAAATCAATAAATTTTCAATTTATCCAGGTATGTGATAAATGACAATAAAAAGAGATCATAGGCCAAAATAAACAAACTGTTGCTCAGCTCTTTATTTTTCCTTTCGCACCAAAACCACGACAGTCGAGTGCCCGCCAAATAGGTCACGTGAATAAAACTCACTGATGTTGACCTCAGGTCAGATCAACATAAACATTATCAGTACGTAGTTACCAAAAGGAACTGTGATAATAAATAATACCCATCAAAAAAGAAAAAGTCTGCGAGAGTTGCTTCACTGTACTTGTAGTGTGTGTACTGTAACTAAAATCACTATCCTCCTCATGGGGAAATTCCAAATAAAACAAAAAATTTTGGGGTCATAAAAAAATTGCAAGGCAAACACAGGCAGCATAATGAATGATTGGGCTATTAACTGTTTGCGTTGATTAGGAAATGTCTTACCTATAATCCATACTCCCTCTTGCTCAAACCTATGGGTGAGGGCGACCACTAAAGTCGTCGAGTTCATCACATGTTCCGACTCCTTCTTGATAACACTACCATTCACACGCCATGTAACTTCAACAACGTGAAGACTTGTGTTGAGTTCTGGAAGACCTGAAGAATTTTTTTCATGTTTTATTATAATTATTAAGTTTTGTCGCACCACGTACCACATATTTTATGCAATTTCACACACAGCATTACAATAAAAGTATCAATGTAGAGATATGAAAGTTAAACATTTCTCTAATAAATAACATGAAAAAGGTCATAAATATTTTAGGCTTATGACCGGTCTGTAAGTGTAATATTAAATAAATTAAATAAGATATGAATATGAATATGTAATAACAAAACATGAATAAGAATGAATAAGATAAAATAAAGAATTAAAAAAAAGAAAAATAAACAATTAAAATAAATAAATAATTAAATATCAATCTTAATTAAATAAACATAAATTTCTCTAATTGTAACTAGAATGTAACTGTCAGAGGCATGTCTTAATCTAAGTATGCTGTGCATCACCACGAATCACAAGAAAACTCAGAATGTTTCTATTTTCAAGAAGTTTTTTTAATGATGATTAATATACTGTAGGGACACAAAAGAAAAAAGCTATAACACAAGTTACATGCTAAATTTAATTTAATTTAAAATCAATTGATACGCAGACAAGGAAGACAAACAAAAGACTGCAGTGAAGGGAAGCATACGCACAAATAGTACATGAGACGCATGCTAACCTTGCATGCATGCGCTTTCACAGAGAAATGGTATAGCAGAAGCTACTTGCTAAAATTAACAACAGCAACAACAACAACAACAATAATAATAGCAATAATAATAATAAAATAATAATAAATAATATAATAATAATTTGCAATTTGTATAGGGCCTCCTGTTGAAAAAAACTTGAGGCGCTTGACAACAACGAAAGGACACAGACAAGAAGTTAAACCATGAACCTAGACTCACAGAACACATAAAGCCTAGCTGAAACAAAAACAACATCGCACCTTTTATTGGCAATATATGACTCACACTCACAGGTGCTCTAATGATGGTGGTGTCTAGCTAAACAATAAACAAAACAGTGGTAAAAAGTGGCTTTAAAAAATTCAGCAAAACTTTCAGTGAAAAGGCGAGATTTGAGTTGTATTTTAAAGAGTCTGTATTCTTGATTTAATCTGGAAGTGCACTCAAGGTAGGTGCAGTGGAAGTGAATGCCAATGAGCTATATGTTGTGCCTTTCATAAATTTTAGAAGGTTTTTAGAAGCAGAACGATGGGGGCGTGTTTGCGGGTATAGAGTGAGCATTTCGGTGATGTATTCTAGAGTGAGATTGTTCACTGCCTTGTACATTAACAGCAATGCTTTATGAATAATTCTCTCGTCAATAGGGAGCTAATAAACATTATATAGTATGGGTGTAATATGGATATGTTGCTTTGAATAGGGTAACCAGGCAAGCAGCAGAATTTTGAATGCTGTAGCTTAGCAACTTGTCTTGGGGTCGTTCAGAGTTGTAGTAGTCAAGTCTTGAGTAGTGGGTTTTTACGAAAGACAGCGCGAGAAGAGCGACATACAGCATTGATATTGGACTTCACTTGTAGTGTAGAGTCAAATATTACACCAAGTTTGCGAACCTCTGTTTTCGGTTCAACCAGAAACTGGTATGGTGGTTGTGACCTGGCTTCAGCTGCTTGATAACATGAAGAAAAACGAATTAATTCATGATTAGCAAATACTTTATACCTGCAAGTGTAATCAGTATGTCATAGTACCGGTTGTCCTAAGGCAAGAATAACTGATTTAGGAATTATGTTAGCTATGAAAGTCTTTATTTTTTTAAATTTTTTTTTTGGGTCATGCTCATTTAATGTTGGTTCCGTGCTAAAAGCTTTTATGTCATGTTTATGATTATTGCGGTTAGCTCTTCAGAAAAAAATACAAAACCAAAAGTTAAAGAATACATGGAGATGGGACCCTGGACAAAAAGTATAGCTTCCAGGTGGGGAAAACAGACTCCGGGGAAGATAATAAATTAAAACACTTTGTTTATTTCCATTTGGTTCAGGAGGAGCAATCACTTCCCCCAAAAGATTTGCAAACAATGAAGGAAGATGAAATATGGTGACATGGGATGGACTCTCTGGGACTTAAAACAGCTGCTTAAAACAAATTCATACCATCGGCTGAGATAAATACCATTAAAAACGCCTTGCTATGCTAATATGACTGAAAGTCTATTTAATGGGTAATAACTCAAGGTTATGATAGATAAGACAGGAGCACTTTGAACTAAGACTGAGTAATAGTTGGGGTGGGTATTGAGTGTGCCACATGACCACCACTTAATTAAATTAATATTTTATGGTTTGAGTTAAGGGTTTGAGATTGGGATTTGATATTTCTATATATCTTTAGTATACATTCCAAAATTTGACCAATTGATCATTCTTTAGTAAACTTCTAAAACAATAATTTATTCTGATGACTAGTTTATATAGGACCTACTCAGTGGCAGGGAGGAAAGGTTATTATCCGTGCTGGACAAGCATGGTCACCGTTGTTGAAGCCACTTAGGATCAACCAACTAGAAAAATTACCATAACTTGCTGACCTAAGCAAAGTTGTTGTGATTCCAGTCCAATAATAATAATAATTGGTTTTATTTTACTTTAGCATAAAAAAAAAACAAACTTTCTGGACCCCAAGGAAGAATTATGTCTCCACATTGATATGATTGGGGTATCCCGAAAAAATAAAGCTTTCTTAACTAACCCTAACAATGAACGTAAACAAAATTATTGGTGCTTTTAATTTGATTGGTTATAAAGGTACAATGCATCAATTGCCTTATTGGGTTAAGTAGACCATGATATTTACAAAAATTAAAACAGATTTTGTAATAATGCTTTTACTTTTCAAGGAAGAATGAATCACCTACTCCCAACTGATTCGCAAACTATGTAAGCAGATGAAATATGATGACACGTAAAGGACTCTCTAGACTTAAACAGCTGTTTTAAGCAAATTCACACAAGTTAAAAAAAAAAGAAGAAATATTTGTATTTTTGCATATTTCAAAACTGTAGGCCTGATGCCTGTGCTGGTAATAATTAAATTTGATATTGTAGATAATAACTCAGGGTTATGATTACCATGACAATAACAATTTCAACACAATAATAAAAGCACAGGAAATGGGTAGGTGGGATGGATTTTGAGTATCCCCCATGATTTGATTCCTACAAAAATTAAAGTTTGGAATTTGCTTTCTGTTTATGGCTTTCTATTTTGGGATAAAATTCTTTGATTTTATGAGAATTAGTCAAATGTAAACTAAAACCTCTCCTAAAAAAATATAAAATAAATTACTTTGTAATCAAATGACTTTTGATGATGTTTGGCATTCCATTAAAATGAAAATAATAAATGAAAATCTCAAGTTCCGGACCAGAAGGTTTAGTATTAAACCACCCATCTACCGGTTCACCTGAAAGGGTCATCGAAACCTACTGTCAAGCACCAAGAACCTATGGTAGAAGAAACGATTACCATTAAACCATAAAACGTTTAGTTCTACTGGGCTTTACTCCGTAATACCTCCAGGAGCCTGACTAATTCAAATATTGAGGTATTCTATGGTTCAGGTATAAAGAGACCGAATTGAAACATATGTTACCAATTACAGATCTGTTATATAAATTGCTGAAAGGTCAATCTATAATGTAAATAAATTGTTCACTTTAAATATGTCTGAATCAATTATAATCTTATTATTTTTTAAGACCTGTATAGATAATTTAAGAAAAATACATTAGATTTCCGGTTCTATCTACTCATACAAAAAATCTATTAATAATTTATTTAAGAATTGATTTGAAATTGGTTCATTTAGAAACTGGAAGTTATTAAAAAAAACTACAGATACCATAATAAAAATGTACGTATAATACTAGCTATACCTTTAAATGGTCTGTATATTTGCAATGAAATAATTTTTGTTCATTTTGTATGTGACTTGCCACAAGTGTAGATCATAGGCTAGCCAGTGAGCCGCCTGGCCGTCTTTTGGATGGCCTACAGTTATTTAAGACGGCCACTTTCCCGTGATGGCTTGGACGGCTTGTCCTAATTAGCTTGGCCTAGCCTAATTGGTCCTGGTCTACCTTTAGCAAATTCTTTATATTCTTCAAATCTATCAAATGTTACATTAAACTAAATAAATGTTACATTAAACTAAATAAATTAAACTAAATAAATAAAAACAACACTTATTGATTGAATGTACGCTGTTTTCGTACCAATATTTGGTGGGGATTCCCAAAGATGGGCGTGGCCTGCCTATCGGCTCAGTGCCATGCTCACTGGCTTTCATTTTGGACGGCCTATTTCGTTTTTCTGGCTAAGCCCCTGGTGAGGATGCGGTTTGGTGAAATACTATCGGTTTGGTTACCCCGCCTAGTGATCGGCGTTTCAATACCTTGCTATTCATTTTGATTGTGTCCTTAAGCAAAGTACTTTATCTGCATTTGCCTCTCTCCACCCAGGAATATAGATAGGCCTACCTAGTAGGGTTTTTGCTCCAGCTCCTACATCCATATGCAAGCAACACTGAAGCATGTGGACCCAATGACAAGGGATAAAAAGCACTTTTTTATTAAAAGGAAATATGCTTTACAAATGCTACATAATTTATGTGATACTATTTATAAGGTTTCATTTACTCTTTATAATATACCATTCTTTGAATATTATTTTGTGTGTGGTAAAACTTAATAAAGAAAAGAAAGAACTTTTTAAAAAAGTTGATATACAGTAAGTTTCTGTAAAACACTAAAGAAGTTTAACGCTAATTGAATGTCATTTTGTGTGTTAAATCTACGTGCGAGTAAATACGCAATCGGTAGCTATTCACCTAACTATGAGGGTTTTATTGCATCAGCTTGGCACTTTTATCTGGTGCCCTAATGGCAAGTTCACCAATATTCACACAATCCATAGGTAATAGATACCGGTATAATCCAACAATATGTGGTCTGGTGGGGTCACTCCTAGCTAACAATCCCAAGTTAGTTATGAAAAGACACCTGTGTATATAAGACACAAGTTCAAGGTAGAGGAAATTAGTGATAATGAACCATCTTGATGAGTTGTACATTGTGTACATTGCTAACATATTATCCATAATTTTATCATCATCCTAACAAAATTCCTTGCACGGATCAGGAGAGTTGAAGATATTTACACTGTGGTATACTACTAGAGTACCCCAATTAACATGATACTCGGTCAAAACATGTTTCTGTAAGCTATGAGTTTAACAATCTCTCTGCTATATAAACTTAATTACAAATACCGGTATCTACCTATATTTAGTCGTTTTAAATTAATTAAATTTTTAATTAATTTTCTCTTTAAAAAAATCTAAATATTAATTTTCAATTTGTGTTTCTTTTCATTTGAACCAATATCACATTCTCCCTTTCCTTTGATTTTAAAACTCCTTCCTGTTCTGTTCTCAAGTTTAATAAGCATTCACAAATGAGGGCAGTGTTTATGAGTAGTGTTGATTATTGGTAGAGACTTTTTCACACATCCTCAACTGAGGTGAATTAGTGTTGATTAGGCCTTGTTTCACAAACATATATTTTTTAAGGTCAGCAGAAGAAGGGCAGAAAAAAAATTTTATTTTCTTATTTAGCAAATAGTTTCACCAAAAACATCCAGATGGAGGAGAAAATAAAAATAAAATGTTATTGGTGAATGTAAACAGCTGTATAGTAATAATGGGTGGGATGGTTAAATCCTTTAAATTTATGTTATTAGTAAGAAATATACATTTTTTTTTAAAGATTTCAAGGTAGCGGCGGGTGTAATAAAAAATATATACTTTGTGGCGGTGGGTGCAATAATTTGCCAAAAATTCAATTTTATTTTTATTTGAAATCATCATTATTGGTGGGTGGCAGGTTCACTTAACAAGGTATAAAAATGTCTTGCCTTATTGGTAGACTTTTTCACACAGCCTCAAGCGAGGTGAATATATTAATATTCATGAGTACACACTAACTCAGAAAGGTTGGGTAATTTCTAGCAGGTGTGGATAAATTTTCCCAGGGGTAGGGAATCCCAGCAGGAATTGGGAATTTTTGTTTTGACTGCAATTTGGGAGTAATTTTTCAAGAATCAATGCTACTAAACATTCCAATTTCCATTTAATTTGTTTTCAGTGAATGGTTTACACAACAAACTTATTCAAACAAGAAGGGAATTTCTTATACAGTTTTCAGCATCAAAAACATCCTCGATGCAGATTTGATTAGTAACCTACAAACTATAGAGGGAGCCATTACAAAAAACAAATCATACATATTCCATGATCTCATTGAAAAAAGTAAACAAGTTCCATCTTTTCACTGCAACACAATTTTATTCAATTCTATTGAGAAAAGCCACCAACAATATTAATAAACAGTGGTTTTAACAGATGGAAAATGTCTAGGGCTACATTTTGAGACAAGCTAAATTTCATAGATATGATGGCCCAAAAGTTGGTATTTAGTCAAGTACTACATGTCCAGATTGATTGAGCAGAAGAGCTTAGCTTAAGCCCACCTGCACAGGTGTGACAGCTATATGGAAGGACAGAGGAAATCTTAAATTATCTACAACCCAGTAAACTTGAATACATTTATATTATTTCTCATTCATTTTATTTAAAACAATCAAACAATTTATCTGGATTTATCACAAAATAGACACTATGGAAATGAAAGCCTCGATTATGCAGTATATACCATAATTTATCTGCATCTTTAATTATACTTTTAAAAATATATTTTTTGGGTTTAAGCTCACAACTGAGGTTAGAAGTTTCCTTAAGCCGCTTCATAAAAAAATTTTATAAACATCAATTTAAATATCAGATAGTATATTCTATGATATTAAGTATTATTTAAATTTATTATTTTATATTAATTGTAATATTAATACTTTATGTGAATCTCCATTTCTGATGAATAAACATTTAATTACATGAATATTCATTACTATTATTGAACCTATACTTATGCTTATATTATTAAAATTAATTTAAAACAAACAATAATAAAGAAAACCATAAATAATCAGATAAATCAATAGCATCAGACATTTATCTCCAATAGGCTAAAAAAAATGAAAACATCAGATAAAATATCAGAAGGCGAAGAACAAATCTCAGTAGAAAAAACTTTAACATTCATACCCCATGCACTTTTAAATTCACAAAATAAATACAAAACGATTACATAATTTACTCAATTATTTACCCGCACAGTTATCAACCACGCTGATCACATTCCCTGAACACTTTTTAGCATGTCTAGACAAACTACAGACTAATAACAATGTTCTCAATATTTCACTTCAAATTCTAATCTAATTTTAATAGTTTTGGGGTTGATTACACAGAAATTCTAATTTATTATTCTATTACATAAAGCATGCTTAGTTTTCTTTAATAATTTGATTGGAAAAATTTGAAACCACAAATATATCAAATGAGGTAAAATGAGATTTTGGCAAAACATTTAACAATCATACAATGACTCAGTTGTTTACAATTCCTAAATTGAAAACTTCCCACCTGTTTTGATTAAATGTAAATTATCATTCATACAGTGATACAACCAATCAGTGCCACTACCCACGGGCAAGGACACGCTTTGGTAATTACAGTAATTTAGCCTGTAAATCCTTAGATTGGTCAAATAATGATTGGTGGTCTGGTTAAAAATTCTGTAGATTAGTTACAGTATGGTTGCAGTGGGTCTCTCTCAAGTATCAAAACCATTATTGACTGGAGTGCTTAAGACATTTAAAACAGATATTCAATGGTCATAAAGGGGATGAACATGGATTTATGAGCATAACACATGATTCACATGCAGAAAAATTAGGCAAAATGTAAGGAATTGCCACATAGATATAAGTGTGCCAATGCCTCTTAGTAAAACCTTTGTAACACCCATTTAACATCTTGGTAAACCTTTATACAGAAGTCAACAAAATCTGTATACTGTAATTAAAAGTACAAATTTTACCATATAAAAAGTAAAATAGAAAATATCTGTTGAGATTTTAGATGCTGTTGATCAGAAACGTTGGCCACAGGTTATAACTTGCTTTGATTACATGGTGAGTATCTTCCTAAAATACTGATTTCGACCATATTTCAATATGACCTCACTATTAAATGTTACTCATTTGCCGTAAGACACCATACTCGCAAAAGGTTAATGGCATAAAACAGTGCTTAAACATCAATTCTGAAACAAATCTCATGTATTTTCAATTTTCAAATTCCTTGATAATATTGAAAATAGAAGCTAAAATTCCTATAAATTTTATGAATGTAGAAGTTTACTGGTTGGTTTTATCAAGAAAACATCCTATCCAGACTATCACATTTTATTTGACAAAAAAAACTGTTGTATGCCCTTATATAGTCAAGATGTGCCTATATATGGTCATGATGTGATGTCATCATGACCATATTTAGGCATATATAACTTGTTTCGGCAAAAATACCACCCAAGCTGCCAAACATCCTGGGTTCTATGAGCGGGACGTATTTAGCGTTGGATAACCCGGGTGCATTCCGGAGTTGCCAGGGCAAACAGCACCAAATTTGATTCTGGAATTAAGCCTACCTGGCGCCTACCGTAGCTGTGGTCAGATAGGCCTAAACACTTTTAAAAATTAAACCCATTGCGCTCCAGTATAGACTTGATATCAAAACTGCTGATTTAATTCGCATAATTTATAAACAATCTGTAGATACATTGCTTCAACATTGACAATAATTGGAACTCGAGCGGTACTTGAACCCGAGGTCGTTGCCCATGTAAAATGGGAGCGACTTGGGATCAACCTGGACTTTTTCGTTTGATGTAAATGGGAAATGAACCCAGGATCACTCCGGAATTAACACAGGTTTATTCTGCCCTTGGCAGTGTAAAAGGGGTACAAGTATCTGGAGTGTAATAAATATGATTATGTGCTACATCTACATCCAATTAAAGAAAAACTGAGGATCTTTACATGTACTAAATGAAGTACATGAAATAATGCGAGTTTGAAAAAAAAAAATGTAATGTAGGAAATAAATGAAAATAGCACATGTACTGCCCTCCAAATGCACCCTTATGGAAATTGGGTCGACACTATTTTTCAAGGGGTGATCCCACATATAAGTGAAAAATTGATAGTCAATATAGAAAATTAGGCAAATTTATTTTCCATGCAATAGAACAAATCTCTCACCAGTAGAACTGTCTAAAATGTCAGCAAACACGACTGATCCTTGAATGTAAACTTCTGTTCCCTCCTGAATTAAAGTCTGCTCACTGCTGACCTCGATATCACGAATGTACGGCCCATCTACTGAGTACACGCTTAAACTGGAGTTGCTTCCACAGAGTTGACTATAATCTATCAAGCACCTGTAACAATATAAAATGAGGTAAATATAATATGGTGAAAACAATCCATCTGGTTTCCTAATAAGGCAAATATAGTAAACGAGTTGTGGGATTCTCGGTTCTTTTTTATTTAGGTCTGCATAATAACTTACCAACCGGTGTCTGTGTTGGGTACAGAGCTACGGTTAGAAAGATAGGTATAGTAGTCAACCTTCTAATCTTGTACCCGGTTCACACGAGAAAAAATGTTACACGCTTACCCGGATTGGACAAATTTTAGCATGCGTCATCTGCTACATTCGTGCTCGTATGAATGCCTATCTGTATAAGATTAGCCAGCATCCCATGTTATACCCATGTAAGAAAACAGATATCGAAGAAGACCTTCTATTCTATTCTATTCTTCTGCTATATTTACCAAGAACCTCTGCTTTGCATGCTGGAGTACTTTTGGTTTACATAAACTATATTGTATTTCATTGTTACTTTTACACTGTGAGGATCAGATACTTTGTCCCTGCCCACTCAATCGTTTTAATAATGTGAAATGTACCAGTTGTATACTTAAAACTTGCCTTGTTGAACAGGAAGCACCATCAATTGATGAGATACCATCAACACTATTGCTACATTTACACTCTATACCATTACTTAATGCAGCAAATGTAAATCTGAAAGATGAATCACAAATCACCAATATTATCAGTAATAAAATACTGTCTCAAACTAAATTAATACTCAATTCATTGCACCAGCCACTTGAGTTAACAATTTGCCATAATACCGGTATACCAATATGCCCTGGGGCTATTATTATTGATAAAAGGTTTTTTGAAGGGGGTTTATTCAAGGGAGGCTTTTTTTTTTTTTTTTTTTTTTGGTGTAAAATGGATTTGTATGTACTCAAACACCCCTTAATTTCACATTAATAGAATGTGTTGAGAATAATGTTGCTTCCATTAGATTTGATTAGTCATTTGGGGTTGGGGCGTTCATTGGAGGCATTTATTCTAAGTGGGGCATTTATAAATACAGTAATTATAAAAGTATATAATAAAATTAAACTTTTGAAAGTTATTTTAAGACTGTTCCTGTGTAAGAATTTTTCATTACCTTTTTTTGACTTCTCATAAATAAAGGGATAGTTTGAAGGTGTAGCAGCCAATTAAAGAGTGAAAACCCAGCATAATTATATTTTCAACAAGTTAAAAAGGGTGAGAAAAAAAATCATGAAGCTCAACAAGCATTACTCTTTCTAGAAATCTCTAGAATCAGAATCTAATATAACAGAATGTAAAACTATGATGAGAAATCTTGAATTGAATTGTTTAGTTACCCTTCAAAATAGCACAAATTTGAACAAGCTACTCCAGATGAGAGTGATGTTGTGTTGCCATAGAGAGTAAAATTGGATGATTCATTTTCAGTGTAACAGCCCATATACCACAAACCTGCAAGATAAAAATTTAAAAGATTTTTAAAGTTAAAACACAAGCAACTCCTCCCACGACTGGGAGCTTAGCTCAGTTGGCTGAGCTGGAGATAGTAGCTTGTGTGTGTACTGAACCGTGGCAATCTCTTGGTCCCGATTCAATTCCCATTGCTGCTCTCCTTGTACGATAGTGTACCGTCTCTCAGGTGAGACGTTTAAGCCATGTGCAATATGGCCCATGTGCAATTCACCAACAGAAGGACCCCACTAGTTTTTGGGTTTTTGATTTATCCTTGGTGTAATTCATACCAAAAATACTCTATATATCCTAGTTACTTCATGAGTCTTAGAACTTATGTGCACTATAGACAGCAGCTTCGCTGTCAGTAAAAAATAACAGAAAACAAAGATATTTAAAACTTAAGAGCCTCTGTCAAAGGTAAAGTGGGTAGATGATCAAGATGGTTAATAAATCAAATATAATATCTTTGATTATTAATCACATTAGATGTTGGCAAGTAACGTGGTAAAGACTTCTCATTGCGTGTGGTAAATCAGCCAGTTCGTTCTGTAGCTACCACCTTCTAAATAACAGGTCCTCAATATTTATCAAAGGAGGTAATAAATGTAGCATTCTCAAATTTATTCTATAACAATAATCAAAGCAATCAAAAACTTTTCCTAATCTAATTTACCTACTACAATGAGCATTTTCTTGTCCTTAGTTTTAGAAAAGCGCTAAACTTAAATAGAGATCAAAGTAAAATTACTTTTCAATCTGGCTTAGGAAATCACATCACTCCACTAACACAACAGCTGACTACATTTTATATTCCTTCTCCACTCTTCTCACCTGGGTGCATCATATTCAGAGCCCATGTGAGGTAGGCATATGTACGAAATGCAGATTATGGGAAGTTTATCAAAATGGGCCCTATGGGCATTATCTGGGTTTCATATTACAAGTTATCAAAGCATTATGATTTCCCCAGGGTTTTTGTTATTAAAACACTAGAGCATGTACAGTAGTACACAACTGACAGTAGAGTAACTTTGAAGTCGATAATGAGTACATTTTTTTTTTTTTTTTTTTTTGCCATGCCGTTGAAGCTCCAGCAGTATAGATCATTGCTGTTAGACTTAGACCCAGGACTGGCTCAGGGCCTATTACAAGCTCAAGAAACCCTGTTTTTTGTATAGCACACATTAATTTCACAAGTTTATATTCTAAAATCATAACACTGTATAGCAGTATCATTCTTTCTGTGAACGTCATCCTCACCAACCACGTGCGTTTTGTGTCGATGTTTGTGAAGCTACTCACATGACCCTGAGGATCGAAAAAAATAATCGTTTGTTATTGTTATGAGCGAAGCTGGTTCTAAAAAGCGTCAAAAATTGTTTTTGAATGAATACAATATGAAAATAATTATTATTGCCAAATAGATAGATCTCGATGCTACTTATTCACAATCTGTGTCCAAACATTGACAGCAACCTTCAGTCTTACAGGCCTATACATTTTACAATATACCGGTATGGACTTTCGAAATCGCGAGTCTTGTTTTGCACAGGGTAAAATTCGAGCTGCGCTAATTATGGGCCTTGGTTATTATAATAATTATCGTCGCCATAATCATAAAGCAGAATGCTACGCTTAAAAAATCGAAAAATTATAAGGACAATATTTGAAATTAGGTTCATGTTTCACGCGAATTCCATGTGTTTATGCTAGGTTGTGATTTACCGTTCCACCATCATGTAATGTGATCGCCTCGAACTTCATGTCCTGCAATTCATCGACCCGGCCCAAAGGAGAAGTGTGAATGTTCGTAAGGAGGCCCTGGGCCAACTTAAAATACTAACTGTAAACGGAAAATTTGTTTGAGTTGGCCCTGAGTCGGCCGTATTTAAGCCGGCCCTAGGCCAGCCTAATACAGTAAGTGTGATTGGGCTCTAATACTATATGTTCATAGTATTATTTAACAAGATTTAAATAACTTGCTCTTTTTTTAGCTTAATGCTTAATGAGATACTGAGATACTGTCCATTACATTTTTTTGGTAAAATGTAGATGCAAGAGCTTAAAAATCACTTCACATCACCATTGCACGCCTGTATTGCCCTATAACAGGATTGACCCGTTGTAATTTCATAATTTCAACTCAAATTGTACTTGTAAATACAAAAGTTTACTATAAATCTCACAGTAGCATAGACAATTCTAGAGAAAATGTTTGAAGTTCATATAGTTTTTATAGAAGGTATCTTCTGGCTAAATCAGACAAGCTGAGTTTAAAAGAGTACAGTATGAGAAGACAACATTGTACCACCTGTAGAAATGAGTTCATCATCAGTAAAAATCTCCAAATATAGTCAAATTGTACAAATATATGTTCAAAAAATCAACACATGCCTGGCTCCAAAGAGTAGGCCGTTGGCCTTATACTGTACAGTACATTAGGTGACACCATGCATTCTGATTAATAGTGCAGTCTTAAAACAGCAAATTACGATCGGAAAACAGGGGGTCGTCACAACATATAAAAATGTTTGATTTTTAAATCATGTTCGTCTTATGTGCGCCTGTAACACGAATTTACTAACTACTGAAACGAAGCTATTTCCTGTTGCAATTTTAAAATGCCAGAGAATCTTAAAGATATTGATGAACCTTTAAAAGTCTATAAAATTTGGAAGATTTGCCCTACATTTGGCTCTGTTTTTAGCCAGCTAGATGCAGTATCAAGACCACAAAAAGCTGCAAAAAGAAGGGATACCGACGATGAAACAATGGGTCTTTAATGTAAGCCCGACATACAAAAATCGTCCAAAAATCTTCTCAAACTTGGGGGTCGTCTTATACATGGAACGCCCTATACCCAAATATATACGGTATTAAAAATTGAAAAACTGTACAATACAATACATTTAATTGATCATTTCTATTGGAGGTCATTTTATGACACCATTTTCATGTTATCCATCTAAGACTCAGTAACTATAAAAAATTGGAAAAATAAAGACATGGCCTCAAGACTTGCCTGAGGAGAGGAAACTTCCTGACAGGGGGTATGACAAATTTTTGCTGAGGCCATCAGGGTCCAGGAGTGAAGCCTGGGAATGGATCCTGCAGAAAAATTTCTCTGGAACGTAGCGATTTTAACCCAAAAATGGTCTGGTTTGAGTTTGACCCTCCCCACTGATGATGTTACTTGTAACGTGTTGCTAGGAAACTGTACAAAAATTTGACATTCTATTAAGCAGGACTAGTACAGTTGTACTATAGTACTTTGGGTATTCTCTGCTCTAAAATTATGTATTAAAATTAATAAAAATATAAAACTACAAATGATCTATAATGCAATTCACACATAGGAGACTTCCAAAGTCATAGCGAAAGTTAAATTCCTTTAAGTATACCAAAATACAAACTTAAATAAAATAAACAAAAGTCAAATGTAGGCCACATGAAACAAGCAAGATGATATGATTTCTGTCTGGAAAACAAATTGCAGATATCATTGATAATTAGAATGTTCTGTTCGGTTAAAAAATGAACAGGCCACATTCTACAATTTGCTGGGTCAGGTACGGTACAGCATGAATGATATAAAAACCGCAACAACTAAGGTGACAAATTGCTTTGATAACATTTTAATAGGTATCCCACAATCCTCAGTATGGTGTGATTGCACTTTTGTCACAGAAGATAGATATTTTTAGCCATTTTAAGTGGTGAAAATTAAACCTGTAAAGCAAATACAGTAGTGAAGATTTAAGAATAGATGCTGACATACGAACACAGCCGTCGTTATTACTATTGAATAAGTGATATCTCTCAGTTGTGGTGAGGTTAGCAAAAATATATACCGGTTCATTGTACTTTATTCACAGTCACTTTAGAAAATTCAATCCACTTTCAAATCAATTTACTTATTTTAATACTTGTGCCATCTAATTCAAAATAATAAGCACTTAAAAAATTATTCCACTTTATCTGAATTGCAAACCCCGCAAAACTGTGATAATGATTGAATCACATAGTATAGGAATCAATTTGGTATCTCTAAAAAAAAATCATAATTTTATGTTCGTGACAACCTTTTTTTGGGGTAAAATCTTGATTTTTTGTTAAAAATACAGTACCTAAAAATACACAGCAAACCTCCAAAAACAGTACAGTAAAAAACAGTAAAAAAAATCATAATGTTACATTCATAACAACCTACTTTTGGGGTAAAAATGCCATTTTTTGTATAAAAACATTTCAATTTTTTAATTTAAACCAGAGCCTTGCAGGCGTCAACGTTCCTATGCATGATATACGACTTTTAGAAGTATATATACGTGTGTATATATATATATATATATATGTATGTATATATATACATATATGTATATATATACGTATATATATACACATATACGTATATATATATATATTCATATATATATATTTATACATATATATATATTTATTTACATACATATATATTGATATATATATACATATATGTATATATATACATATATATGTATATATATATATATATATGTTTATGTGTGTGTATATATACTTATATATAAGTGTACATTATAAGTATATAAGAATATAAGTGTATATATATAGGCCTATATAAGTATATATGTAAGTATGTGTATATATATATACGTATGTATATATAAATATATATACGTATATATAAGTATGTATATGTATATATATATATAAGTATGTATATATATATAATATATATGTATATATATTATAATGCATATATGTATGTATATATATATATATTTAGGCCTATATAAGTACATAAGTATGTGTATATATGTATATATATATAAGTATGTATATATGTATATATATATGTATATATATGTGTATGTATATATATATGTATATATATAAGTATGTATATATATATATATATAAGTATGTATATGTGTGTATATATATGTGTATATTTGTAGATATATAAGTATGTAGATATATAAGTATGTATATATATA